TTGTAATTTACTCCAAAATACAGTTTGGGCAACTTTGGCAAAACCGTATGTACTTCACCTTATTTTTTCTATAGTTTGCCTGCATTTCTCACTTATAGTATGCTTCCCTGTTTTAGGACTTGCATGGATATATTAATATTAATTACTTTGCTTTATTTTGATAACTAATATCAATCTGAATGCAGTTAATTACAAAATGTTTTCAGGAAACCGTGTACTTCTTTAGAATGAAAGGTTACAAATGTAAGACATTTTGTATTATTTTTATTGTTAGGGAAAGGCTAATAATGACAGTTAACATCATGTTCTGCTTTTTGCTATTAGTATTAACGTATTGTGATAAAGTGAAGGGGGAGTATGTGTTGTAGGCAACACAAACTAATGTTTAGTTATGGGCCCCTGAGATGGAGCATTTGGAGAGTAGGGTGGGCCAGGAGCACCTCTTTTATATTTGTGTATTTTATTATTTTAGCCTGATATTCCATTTATTCTAGGGTGGGCCAGTGCTCTACTCCTCAGTTTATATACAACTGGGAGAAATATGGTCCAGGCCAAGTTTTTGGACTGTCTCCAACCCACTGCTCAGCTGCATGTAATCAGCTGCAGCAGTAGAAATAAACCCCTCCCTGCTAGGCAGGTAAAGATGGATTTTTGGTTTCTCCCTGAGAGGTTGGAAGTAGCAGACTGGCTGAGAGCACTGGGGTGCAGAAGGATAACAGTCAAGGTGACTGAACACTGGGGTGCTGAAGGATAACAGTCAAGGTGACCGAGCAATGGGAGTGGCGAAGGATAACAGTCAAGGTGACTGAGTACTGGGGTGCAGAAGGATAACAGTCAAGGTGACTGAGCACTGGGAGTGGAGAAGGATAACAGTCAAGGTGACTGAGCACTGGGAGTGGAGAAGGATAACAGTCAAGGTGACTGAGCACTGGGAGTGGAGAAGGATAACAGTCAAGGTGACTGAGCACTGGGAGTGGAGAAGGATAACAGTCAAGGTGACTAAGCACTGGGGTGCAGAGGGAGAGCAGTCAAGGTGACTGAGCCCTGGGGTGCAGAAGGAGTGCAGACAGTGTGACTGAGCGGTGGAGTGCAGAGTGTTGCTATTTAACAAGGTTGGTGAAACCTATGATAGGTTTAAGTTTAACCCTTGATAGAGAGGTAAATTGAAAGTCAGTCAGTGCTCAGACGAGCTAGGATTTTGTTTAAAGGGAAACCTGTTACATTATTGTTTCTTTAGTTGTGTTGCTGTCTCCTGTGTGGATTTAGCAATAAAGTGCCTGGGTTATGTTAAAACCAAAGGACTGTGCATGTTGTTTACCCTAGAGGACCGTGCTAACAGCAAACAAGGATCACAGTGTATACAGCTTGTTACAAAGTGAGCCTTGTCAGGTAGTAATATGAATAATGTATAACCTTGGGTACTGTTCTTGTTGCATTAAATTGCTAATTAACCATCTCTTATACTTAATTTTTTAGCTGCTAACACTCTTTCTTAGGATGAGCTTGTTATCTAAATATCGCTTTAGAGTTTGTAGTATGATAATATTGGATTAACTTTGACCTGCCGAGATTCTTAGCTTAAGTTTTTAGAATTTTGTCTTCTGCCCCTTCTGGTTGTTTTTAACGTAAACATTTGTATTTTTTCGTGTTTTCACTCTCACTTAGTTTTCCCCGCCGTGCTTGCCTCCATCAGCTGCCCTGTGGGGCTGCGCATGGCTGAGCATGATATGTCTGTCACTCTGGCCATGAACTAGTCGGCATCAAGTACTAGTTCCAGCTGTCTGTCTGTTTGATATATGTGTGAGCACTGTGTCTGTACAAATTTTGCTATCCTGATGACAGCTACCGGCATGAAGCTGAAACGTCGACATCTTTTAGCATCCCACCCAATGTTTACTGTTTATTGTGCCTGACCTGTACCGGGCATTACCTTACTTTTCCGGGAGTGCAAGCCACTTGCTTGGATATATATGAGAAAATGTATTCATACTTACCGTAATCTTCATTTCCTGGTCCTGGAGAAGTTGGCCTATCAGACAAAGTCTTCCAGATGATAATGGAAAAGGAGGCAAGTAGAGGTTATAGCATCTCGCAAGTATAACTTATTATTAGAAGTGTCAATTATTGTATTATTATTTGGAGTCTGTATGTTTCTTCTAACACCCTTGGTTATTGTTTGGGTATCACCCATTTTTGTGCTGCTATGGAAATCGCCAGGAAAACATATTTACCGTAATTTTCATTGCCTGGTCATAGGCCATGTCAGCACAAAGATTCCACCCTGGGATATTACTGGAAACAAGACTGAGGATGGGAGGAGTAGGAGGGGGAATTTATACCATTCTTTTTAATAGGTTCTTGTCTAATTAGGGATGGGGAGGGGCTACCCATTGTTGTGCTGCCATGGATAAGGCCAATAAATAAATAAATATATGTGTATATATATATATATATATATATATATATATATTATTTTTACATAATTATATTTTATTAATTATAATTTGAGGGACCTTCATGACAACCCAGGCAGAAAGTCCAGATAATTTAATTAGCAACCCCTATATTGCAAATTAAATTATCTGGGGATTATACCAATACCAATCTTGTGTGATAATCTGCAGCCCCTACCCATCTCTTAAGATATACTGAGCACCTATATCTTGTACTTGTTTTTTGTTGATTGTTATACCTTGCCTGATTGGTTACTTGCAAGACTCAAAATTTACCTTTTTTTTTATTTTTTTAAACCAACCAATCAGAGCGCTCTGAGTCAAATTGCAGGGCATAGGAAGGCTTTATAAGCTTTTCCCCGACCTGCGGAGCTCAGTCTGCACAGTGCCCTCACTAAGTGAAGATGGATTATTATTTTTTTGCGTGGGGATGTTTTGTTTTTTTGCGTGCTTTTTATTTTGCACTCAGGTTTTTTTAAATATTTTTTATAAGTTTGACATGAATTTTGGATTTTTATTTGGCCTTTTTGGGGCTGAAAAAAGAAGGTTTTAGAAGACAGACTTCTAATGACTTAATTTTTTTCAGGTATTTAGGTTTATTGGTTCCCCCTCACTATTTTTAGGGTGAGGGGGTAGGTAGACTTTTATTTGAGGGGGTGACTAGGGGCTTGGGGACCCCTAGTCACCTTGTGGGGGGGGGTAATGTTTACATTTAGCCCCCACGCGACATGGACGGAGGGACAATAGACCATCCCCCCATTGTCACTTGGGCCCTCACCCGCCACCCATGGGTGGGAACCCAATAGGTGGACAATAGGTCCCACTCCCTGCAAAAAAAACCTCTTTTATTTCCAATAAATAAAAAGTGGTATTTTCTACCTTTTAATTTATTGGAAATAAGAGGTTTTTTCTTTTTTTTCCACCACCTTCCTGATTTCTGCTTAATTTACATGCTGAATTATGCTGCAAGGAGGAACACAGGAGGATTTCTCTGAGCCCCCCACTGGTATCGGGGGAATCACCCTACAGGCGCATATTATCCTGATATCCTGTGAGTGTAATATATTGGCGAGTCACAAAGTGTTTCAAAGGATACTACACTATGTTATTTTGTTTGTTTGTATTATATTTTTAGGTTTACAGCTGTATCCCAGTTTTTTCCCACATTCTATATACATATTAAAAAGAGCTAGGCCTGAGAGCCACAAGTGCCTTGTAAAGGCAGTAGCAGATCACAGTGCAGGCAGAGGTGTGCATACCTGCCTGAGACAGGAGCTGAAGAAGTAAAGCCAGAGAGGACAATACCTGCCTGGAAGAAGTGAGCTGCTGTCTGATTGGGTGGAAGAGTTCCAGAGAGACCCCAGTCAAGTTTTGGTGACTGGGACTGAAGTGCTCCTTTGGCAGTCAGGGCCAGTGTAAGGAGTTTTGCCGCCCTAGCCCCTTTTGTGTATCTTTTTCTCCCCTTCTGCATCCCCCTATGTCTCTTTATCCTTCCAGCCCATTTGGGTCTATTTGTCCCACCTAGCTCCTCTGGGTGTCTCTCCCCCCTCAGCAGAATGGCAGGTGGGAGCATACAGACATTTACAACCTCCAGGATAGCAATAACACCGCCATAGATTTTGTATTTATTTATTTGACATTTTTACTTTTGGAATGTGGCGGCTGGCTAGCAAGCTGCCACAAAATTAACCTTCACAGCGTTGAGGGTTATTTAACTATTTGCCCACTGGCAGCACTAGCAACCAGCGGGCAAATAGTTTAATAACCCTCACTGGCACAAATAGATCTTAAATTTATCATTCATTTGCAAATAGCAAGTGAATGATAATTTGCTAAAATGCACCGTACCAGATACATTCGGTTTATCTTCATCCACCATGTGGTTGATGATAAATATCAGATTCCTGTGCTTTAAATTGGTCCGGATGCAGATGTTAGTGATATTTCAAGCGCTTCCAAACAAATGTCACAGAATCGTTTAGATTGTCCGAATCCTGACAGCAATTGACTTTAATAAATATGCGAATTTCCAATGTCAGATTTCAGTCATTTTGAACAGATTTCGTCCAGTCAGACAAAACACGTTGTTTAGTGTATAATCCTATAGGTCACCAAGGGTTTAAATGCAGGAAGCATTAACATCCTTAGCATACCCAAATAATATCCTGTAGCAACCGTCTTTAGCCATATTTCTTGTACTTGTGTCTCTACAGACAAATCAATTTCAGTAGTTAATTAAAAAACAGAAGAAAAGAAACCACATCAAATGTTCAGTATTTCAGTGCTGCATTTCAGTAGTTAGAAAAAATAAAGAATGTAGGAAGTATGTGGAACAGAGAGAAGATATGGAAATTGAAAATTCCTCTTGACATCCTTGTTTAAAATGGGGGGGTGGGGGGGGGGTGGTATGGAAGTTTACAAATTGTTTACATAAGAACTATTATTTGTCAAGACATTCAATGACTGGAAAAACAAAACAAAACAAGACCTTTCTTGTAAAAATAATCACAGATTAAGAACATTTTAATAATGACAATGAAACATTAGCTTGTTCAGATCCATTCAACTGATTATTATCATATTATTGTGACATTAAAATTCTAGATTGAATAAATCCACTCAAAAGCAATTTGAGGGGCTCACAGCAGATGTTTATCTACAAATTTTTTTAATACACCAGATTGTAAGCATGACACATTATTATAATGTATAATAAATTCTATTTTACATAATACTGTGGGGAAAATATTTGCTGTTCAAGCTAGTTAGAAAAGGCTAATCAGACAGTTTTGATACAAAACAAGCTCCTCATACGATTTCCATTCACATATGTCTACAACCAAGTTATTCTTCAGGGTTAATATGGACTAACGTGAGAATTGTCATGCATTCAACATGAAGTTCAAACTTTATTCTGAAATAACTGAACTAGAAGCATAGCTGACTTGTCGATTTGTTGGTGTTTTTTTTTTTTTTTACAATTCAAGGAAATATATAGAGGCTTTAAACTTGAAATTCACTGTGAATTGACATTGAATTCTTGATAATACCCAGTTTAGTAAATAACCAGTCATGTCCGAGATATTGGTTCTAACTCAAATCCAGTTAGTAATACATCTTATAATGTCTTTATAGGTCAATAATGTGGGCTCCATGCTGCTATATATATATATACAATTGTATATGTGACTAAAACAAATATGCATTAATCCCAAAATAGCATACAGCATATTGCTACATTTTCAGTTAGACTATCCATCTCAATGACATGTCCAGCAGAACTAAGAGTATCTAAAAATATTTTTAAATAAACCAGGGGGTTTATATATTTACTATACTTTGAATAATAGTAAATTGGAAATGAAATTGTTTATTTTAGTCTGACTGTTCAATGTGGTATTCAATTTGTGTGTCTATGATAGCATGACAGTGTCTGTATGCTGCACTCACTGTCTGTTTTCAACTAAAATAAAAACAAGAAAGGAGCACAGTCCTGGTATGTATAGTGGGCGTTTTGTGGAGGGAACAAAACAGTTTATGTGAACCACTTTACATGTTTACACATCTACCTTCACCTGATGTAGTGCTGCAAAATGATTGTTGATACCAATGTAAAAAAAAACAGAACTACAGGAATTCATATAAGTAAGATCCTGTATTCCGTAGTGTCAATACGGTCAATGTTTCAGCTCCCCTCGCTACTTTTCTTCCTTCTGTATTTGCATTATGGAATAAAAGTTTAATTGTAAGGACACTAGAAGTACTATTTTTTTATATTGGATATTTATAAGGCTACATTAAGCACATGGATTTATTAACATACATATATGTATCTGCAATACCCTCTAAAATAAAGCAGTTTTTTTTTTCTCCAAAAGATATTTTTTGTAATGCCATGGTAACCAGTAGTGTTCAGTTCATTTATAAAATTATATGATATACATAAAGGTGCTGCAAGATGCTATGAAACTGAAGAGAGATATGATGTGATAAACCTGCATACATTGACCCAGCAAAAGCTTTCAGAGGAATAAGCAAATTCTTTGGGATGATATGATTGCTGTTGGTCAGTCGTAGTGACCTAAACTCTTTACTCTCCCTTTCCTCCATACTCTGCTGCATCTCACTTGTACTTCTTATATACATGTGTAACATGCTAAAAAGATTAATGTCACTATATTGAGGGTATGTGTATAGACTGAGAATATTATACAGTGAAATTCCTCCTTTGCACTCATTGAGAACAGATCTTCAAAGTAGCAGTCTAGATGACATAATACAGTAGAGAATTGAGATCATTTTGTAAATTAAACATCATAATCATTTGTTCTTCAGGGGAACCACGCCTTTTCTTCTAAGTCAACATATTCAATAAATAGAATGCTTCTTTGAATAAAAAATATACAGGAATGAGAATTCTCTCAATCGAGTGTTTTATCATAACTTAGAAAGTCATGTTTTAACTGGCTTTAACTCAGTCCTGCTGTCAATGATCTGTTATACTTCAAGTTTATTTGAAAGTTCTGTATCTTGAATAATGGACTTGAGAACCAGTGGTCTACTAAATGATGTTGCTGACCACTCACTTCAACATTACAGAGCCACATTCGTTTTTTCTTTACATAAGTATCTATATTCTTCTCAGCCTATGTAACAAATGTCTTCTCCAAAGGCAAGGAACTGATAGCAATAAGTTGTGAAAACATGAGACTGTTTTCAGAGTGGACGGAATTCCTATTGATCATTCTCATGTTGGTAAATTATATAATATAATAGCATATGTCCTCATTCCTCTCTTCTTGTTGCACCTTGCTCGGCAGACATGAAAGTTGTCAGCTCTACTTCATTGCCTTCAGTACATGTTTGCCTATTTCTGAGTTAGAGATAAAAAATAAAGCATACAGGCATTAGTACAACTATTTCTACAAATTCTAAATTCAATAAACTATGTTAAAATTATTGTCAAATTATTGCAAAAATGTCAAATCTCTACATAATGCTGCTCCCACCTATCTATCCTCCCTAATACACAAGTATGTCCCGTCTATGCCCTTACGATCTGCTGAAAACGTACGTCTATATTCTGCCCGTACTCCCACCTCTGATGCTCGCCTTCAAGACTTCTCGAGGGCTGCACCGTTCCTGTGGAACTCGCTTTCCTCTTCCGTTAGATGCTCACCCAGTCTCCACTCCTTCAAAAAATCATTAAAATCCCACTTCTTCATAAAAGCGAATCAATTAAACTGTTAGCTCCCGAATGATTCCTCTTTTGCAACTGTCACTAGTCTAATATTATCCTTACCTTTTTGTGTCACTTTACTCCTCTCCCTCTAGCATGTAAGCTCATTGAGCAGGGCCCTCAACCCCTCTGTTCCTGTGTGTCCAACTTGTCTGGTTACAACTACTTGTCTGTTTGTCCACCCATTGTAAAGCGCTGCAGAATTTGATGGCGCTAAAAAATATATTGACATATGCATGTCTACATTTTTGGGGGCCCTACCCTTTCTGTATACAATACAAAAAATGTCTGTGTTGGAAATAAATAAACCAATACTAACTATTGATTGTTATTTCTCATGTATATACATCTTTCTTCTAAACTTGGATTGGCTTTGATGTATATACATACATATATAAAAATATAATTCAATCCAACTTAAATACATATGTTCAAAAAAGGATTATAATATAAGTAGTATATCCCCAAAGATCAGTTTCAGTTATCATTCCAGTTAAGATATAGCATAGGCCATACCACTGCTACTCTCTGTTTATCCACAGCCTCATTCGCTCTTTTGTAGACTTGTGTACGGTGCAAAAATTTGTTTTGGACAAACCACTTTATCCAAAAATAATAAACATTTTGGGGATAGCAAGATTTCATGTATCAAAATTACATCCAGCCAATAAGATTTGTGAAAAAAAATCAGATGAGCTAAAAGTGCATGAAAGTAGTGCAATTATTGTACAGCAAAATATATACAAATATAAATATTTTGTACCTTACTTTTTGGAATATAGGACACCGTTTTTTACCCCAACATTTGCCCGCGTCCTCTATGCCGAATGTGTGTATACAATTTACACACACAGAATGATCAGTGGTACACACACACACACAACTCACTACAGATAGTGTATTGACACACACACACAAGCACACTACACATACGTTGACTTCACCTCTTGCAGTGGATGGAGAGTTGGAAGTTGCTCCATGCATATATATGTCTCCCTCACTCGGTCACTGCAGCAGGGGGAGCTTATGAGACTCTCTGTCTTCAGTTCTCTCTCGTGAGCTTCGGCAGGTCAAAGCATTCCTGCAGGTTAGCATGGCAACTCTCCGACACTGATCAATGCCAGGGCTGGCAAGCAGAGTTTGCCTCTGGCAGTGGTGCAGCATTCATTACTTAGACCAGACATAGGCAACTTTTGGCACTCCAGATGTTTTGGACTGCACCTCGCCAGCATTATGGGTGTAAGAGCATTATGGGGGATGTAGTCCACAACATCTGAAGTGCCAAAGGTGGCCTATCCCTGACCTACACCATCATGGACCAATGGACCATGAGGGAATGTTGTGCCTTATTCCCTGGTCAGAGGGATGGTAAGAAGCAGAGATGCGGGAATAAACTTTAAAGGACCACTCTAGGCACCCAGACCACTTCAGCTTAATGAAGTGGTCTGGGTGCCAGGTCCAGCTAGGGTTAACCCATTTTTTAATAAACATAGCAGTTTCAGAGAAACTGCTATGTTTATGAATGGGTTAAGCCTTCCCCCTAATCCTCTAGTGGCTGTCTCATTGACAGCCACTAGAGGCGCTTGCGTGCTTCTCACTGTGATTTTCACAGTGAGAGCACGCCAGCGTCCATAGGAAAGCATTGTAAATGCTTTCCTATGTGACCGGCTGAATGCGCACGCAGCTCTTGCCGCGCGTGCGCATTCAGCCGGCGGGGAGGAACGGAGGCGGAGAGAAGGAGGAGAGCTCTCCGCCCAGCACTGGAAAAAGGTAAGTTTAAACCCCTTTCCCCTTTCCAGAGCCTGGCGGGAGGGGGTCCCTGAGGGTGGGGGCACCCTCAGGGCACTATAGTGCCAGGAAAACGAGTATGCTTTCCTGGCACTATAGTGGTCCTTTAATAAAGAGAAGAAAAAAAAGTAAAAAAAAAAAAAAAGTAACTGAAACTCTGTCACCTTCCAATAACACAGCCACTAACTCACCCTATAAATTATCACATACATGCTGCTTTCACTATACACACTACATCCCCTACGCACACACTACATTCACATACACACATACACAATACATCCCCATACACACTGTATTTATTATATACTACACATAAGCTAAAGTATACTGTAATTGTAGGTTGTTTTAATTTTTCCCTAACTTTCTGGTTAGAATTTATGGGTTGGTCTTAAATTCTGAAAAATGTAGTATATATTTTGCAGTACAAATAGGCACATTTTCCCATCATTTTTATAGAACAAATGTGAAAAAGGAACCAATAGAGGGATAAAAAGAGCAGTACTATATCTACAGATATACAATATATATATATATATATATATATATATATATATATATATATATATATATATATATATATATATATATATATATATATATATATATATATATATATATAATATATATATATATATATATATAGTTCCTCCTTGTCTTTCCCCCTCTGTTGGTCACTTCTTACTTGATCAGTGAATAAAATTAACCATATTTATTTCCATCAATCATATATTTTTTTATTTTTTGTAGCAATAGGCAGAACTCCAATCATATATCAAACAAACATGCTCATCTATTGCATGAGTCATTTGTTTTGTGATTAATCTATGTGGTGGTTCAGAAATCAGAATTCTGATGATCACCCGGTGGCCCCAATGTGGACAAATTGCTGTTTGTAACAAAACAAATCTCAAAGTCCAGTGTTTTGTAGATGCGGATCAACTATAGGCAGCCTGATTTTTGTTTCTTGTATGCATGCATAGGTGAGTGTAGCCTTCTTGGTTTCATAAGTAAATATATTTGAGAGACAATATCAACTCCTGTGACTTTGCACCCATCTCTGTAAAAGGCGCTTTATTCCAGGGCTCTATTTAACATTGCACTAGAGAGCCCCAGGAGAACGGATTTTCAAAGTAAATTGGTTAATCTTATAATAGCAGGCTTTATGTTGCTAGAATAGGACCTGCCAAAAATAGGGTACCTTATGCAATGTATGATCATATACTGTAACTTAATCCCCATTATTTTTGCCCAAATTTTGCTCAGGTGTTAAAAAATAAACGATTACAACTGTGAGCTTTGAAGTTGGTGTTTAGTGAATGAGTGCACTGGATCTTGTATTATGTATCTCTCTGGGGCAGAAAGAGATCATTCCCATTAGTGTGTTGTGTTAACCAAAATACATTCAAGTTACAGTTAAGTTGTGAATATGGGCTTAAATTGCAGTCTCTTATCTTTAATTTGGGGGTATTCACATCTAAATTTGAGGAAGGGTTTAGGAATTACAACTCTTTTTCAAGGGACTAAAAGTAATTGGACAGTTGACTCAAAAGCTGTTTCATGGACAAGTGTGGGCTATTCCTACCTTATTACTTCATCAATTAAGCAGGTAAAGGGTCTGGAGTTAATTCCAGGTGTGGTATTCACATATAGAAGCTGTTGCTGTGATCCCACAACATGCTATAAAGGAGCTGTCAATGCAAGTGAAACAGGCCATCCTCGGGCTGCAAAAACAACTGTTTTGCCACTTTTCAGAAATCCAAAGCACTTCGTCACTTCTGAAATTTGGCAATTCATTTCGGTTTGGCACTTCCGAAATTCGGAAGAGTTGAAATGTCGAAATTCGTCCCAATTTATATTCGTACTGAAATGAATTGCACATGTCTACTGATGAACTCTACAACACAAAAAGGCCTGGACGTCCACAGAAAACAACATTGGTGGATGATTATAGGATTCTTTCAATGGTAAAGAAAAACCTCTTCACAACATCCAGCCAAGTGAAGAACTCTCTCCAGGAGGTAGGCATATTATAATCCAAGTCTACCATAAAGCCTACCATAAAGAGAACACTTCACAAATACAGAGGGTTCACCACAAGGTGCAAATCATTAATAAGCCTCAAGAATAGAAAGGCCATGTTAGACAACATCTAAAAAGGCCAACCCAGTTCAAAACAGCATTATTTGGACAGATGAAACTAAGATCAACCAGTTTCAAAATGATGGGCAGAAAAAAAGTATGGAGTAGGCTTGGAATGGCTCATGATCCGAAGCATTCCACATAATCTGTAAAAGACAGTGGAGGCAGTGTGATGGCATGGCATGGTCATGCATGGCTTCCAATCTCACTTGGTCACTAGTGTTTATTGATTATGTGACAGAAGACAGAAGCAGCTGGATTAATTCTGAGGTGTATGGATATATTCAGCCAAACTCAGCAAAGTTGATTGAACGGTGCAACCCTTTGCAGATGGACAATAACCCAAAATGTACAGCAAAAGCAACCCAGGAGTTTATGGCAAAGAAGTGGTATATTCTGCAATGGATTCATCACCTGATCTCAACCTGATCGAGCATGCATTTCACTTGCTGAAGATAAAACTTAAGGTAGAAAGACCCACAAACAACAACTGAAGACAGCTGCTGTAAAGGCTTGCCAAAGCAACACATAGAAGGAAACCCAGCGTTTGGTGATGTCCATAAATTCCAGACTTTAAGCAGTCATTGTATGCAAAGGATTCAAAGTATTACAAACTAAAATTTTATTTATAATTGCATTTATTGTCCAATTACATTTGAGCCCATGAAATAAAGGAACGGTGTATGAAAATGGTTGCAATTCCTAAACATTTCATATTTTTGTTCAGCCCCTTGATTTAAATCTGAAAGTCTGCACTTCAATTGCATCTCGGTTGTTTCATTTCATATCCATTGTAAGTGGTATACAGAGCCAAAATTAGGAAAATTGTGTCTAAATATTTCATGACCTAACTGTAGTGCATTTAGAGAATTCTGGGAATTGCAGGCCATCAGCTTCTGTGGTCCTTTGTTTTAACACATCGTTTCCCAATTGGTGTTCCAAGGAAACCTAGGGTTTTTAAAAATAAAATGGCCGCGGGCGGCAAGGAAGCAGTGGGCAGTGATCTCCCTGCTCAGCTCCCTCGCGTGCACTGCAGTGATGCCGGAGCCAGAATATGAGGTCACTCCAGCTCCGGCATCACAAAGAGCCATGTGAATAGATCACTGCTCCCTTGCCGCCTGCAAGCCAGCCGCTCAGCAGCCCCATTGGACTCCATGCCAAGCCCCACTGGACCCCAGGGACTTCTTGCCAGCCACCCAACAGCAAAATAATTGTGTGTGTTTGTCAGTGAACGTGTGCTTGTCAGTGAGTGTGTGAGAGTGTATGTGTTTGTCAGTGAGAATGTATCTGTTCTTGCCAGTGAGAGTGTATATGTGTTTATATGTGTGTTTGTCTGTAAAAGAGATTGTGTTTCTGAGTGTGTCAATGTTTGTGTATGTGTCACTGTGTGTACCTAAGTGTGTGTGTGTATGTGTCAGTGTGTATCAGTGTGTTTGTATGTCAATGTGTGTGTCTGAGTGTGTCAGTGTGTGTATGTGCCACTGTGTTTTTGTGATAGATACGTGTTTTTTTGTTTTTGTTTAATGGTTTCTACTCTTTTCCTTCTTTTAAACTTACATTTTTCCATGCATTTTGGAACAAGGTTTTTATTATAGAATTATACATATTTGTACTGAGTGCTCTGTATTTATTGAACATATACTTGCCTGTTCCTTCTACGTATGATTACAACAATACACAATGAAACTAAAATGATACTGATGATGCCAAAACCGCTACCTATAAAACACAGAAGAAATTGCAGATATTATATTTGTTCTAAATAGTAAACAGAGTCCCAATTTCAGCCCTTCATATAGTAGGAAGATGATATCCAATATATACAGTCAGCAGATTATAGGTAGATGATGTAAGAAATTGGGGTGAAAGGAAGAAAAGTTGATGGTTTAAAAAAATAAATAAAAATAAGCAGATCCATATCTTACCTACTCCAGAAATAACATTATTGTAGTAATCTGAAAAGTGCAAGAGACTACGTTAGAAATAAATCTCTAGAATAAATTCACAGTATGTCAGCAGGAATAAACAGATTGTCACACTAAAGTATCTAATATACATATGAACTGTTGGTGAGATGCCAACTATGAGCATATTTAAAGGACCACTATAGTACCAGGAAAACATACTCGTTTTCCTGGCACTATAGTGCCCTCAGTGTGCCCCCACACTCAGGGTCCCCCTCCCGCCCAGCTCTGGAAGGGGGAAAGGGGTTAAAAAAAACTTACCTTTTTCCAGCGCTGGACGGGGAGCTCTCCGCCTCCGATCCTCCTCTTCTCCTCCCCGTCGGCTGAATGAGCACGTGCGGCAATAGCTGCACGCGCATTCAGACGGTCACATAGGAAAGCATTCATAATGCTTTCCTATGGACGCTGGCGTGCTTTCACTGTGAAAATCACAGTGAGAAGCACGCAAGCGCCTCTAGCGGCTGTCAATGAGACAGCCGCTAGAGGAAATAGGGGAAGGCTTAACCCATTCATAAACATAGCAGTTTCTCTGAAACTGCTATGTTTATGAAAAAATGGGTTAACCCTAGCTGGACCAGGCACCCAGACCACTTCATTAAGCTGAAGTGGTCTGGGTGCCTAGAGTGGTCCTTTAAGAGGACTCGGTAAAAAAAAAAATTAAAAAATTTGGCCTTCTACAAAACTACCCCTATGGTTTTTATTTTATAACTAGTCATTTCTTAATTGAACAGCTCTCTTTAAAAATTGCATTGCTCATAAACGTCTATTCATATCAAAGTGAGAATTGTCAGGAATTTAAACTGATTTTCAAATTAAAGGCTAAACTGGAAGCATAGCTTACTTGGGCTTGTAGCCTTAAATTCCCTGGAATTTCCAACAATTTTAACTTCAGTGAATAATAATTCTTAAAAAAAACATTTAGATGAGCACGCCAAAAACTAATCACTCACTGGAGGGTATGCATTTCCCCCCAAGTTTTGCTGAACTTAGCAGCTCATTATGTACTTGAAAGAACACCCTAAGCGCCACAACAACCTTTGCTTATTACTTATGGCGCAGTGAAGTGTTTTGCCATACATGCACAATAACCTCCCAATGCTATCCTAAGGGAAAGCAGACGATTGGCTGAAATTGTCAAATTTGAGTGAGTTTGAACACCTTTTTAACAGGAAAAGAGGGTCCGGCCACCTAAACAGCGGTTTTACAACTATAGTGTCAGGAATACATTTGTAATCCTGATGCTATAGTGTTCCTTTAATTCTCACTGTACCTCAAGTGCCAGTGATAAATACAATTTAATAACCATACAAAAAAATACTTGTCTCAGACAAGACAGGATCCTTAAATTCACTAAACACTACTTTGATGGTCTGGCATTTTGGATACAGTGAGAAGAATAATGATTAGTTAGGAATTTGGGTTAAAGGACCACTATAGTGCCAGGAAAACATACTCGTTTTCCTGGCACTATAGTGCCCTGAGGGTGCCCCCACCCTCAGGGACCCCCTCCCGCCCGGCTCTGGAAAGGGGAAAGGGGTTAAAACTTACCTTTTTCCAGCGCTGGGCGGAGAGCTCTCCTTCTCCGATCCGTCTCTTCTCCTCCTCCTGGGCTGAATGCGGCAAGAGCTGCGCGCGCATTCAGCCCGTCGCATAGGAAAGCATTCTCAATCACAGTGAAAATCACAGTGAGAAGCACGCAAGCGCCTCTAGTGGCTGTCAATTAGACAGCCACTAGAGGATTAGGGGGAAGGCTTAACCCATTCATAAACATAGCAGTTTCTCAGAAACTGCTATGTTTATAAAAAAATGGGTTAACCCTAGAAGGACCTGGCACATTAAGCTGAAGTGGTCTGGGTGCCTAGAGTGGTCCTTTAAAGGCATGAGAGGTAGGCATTAGGTTTACTTTCCATTAAATTTCTAATAATTTTGTCTGTTCCAAGACTCGAAATCAAGAAGTATTCACATGAGTGTAAAGTGTCAGCAAATCGGACTGAATTTTAAATTGTCTGCCAAAATAGCCAAACACAAAACACAGCAGTCTTGGAGAATGTTTCCAATTTGGCTATTTTAGCCTAAAATGTTAAATTCACTTTGACTTTCTAATAATTCACACCTGACTGTTTAATCCACTTGGAAATAAGGCTTACATTCATAGCTTCAAAGTTTAAATTCCCCTTGCAGGCTTAGATGATACCTGTTTAGAGTTTAACATCTTAACTCCTAACTGCTTTATTTCTTCTGCTTAGCTGTAGAAGGGTCATGGGACAGCTGGCAAAGTGAAGAAATTTTCCCCTGGACAACTGGCATGAGAGGGATGGCAAGGGTTTTGTAGACTGCCACCTCACTATTCTATTGGAAATTAAAATAGCAGGATGCTTGATAAGATGTCTGTTTGAAAGGTTCTGTTGGAGCATGGCAGTGGGCAGCAATTGTATAATGCCTACAATGTGGATAGGACAATCCACCCTCGGACCTGTGAGTTTGTCCACAAAAAGAGCCATCCATTTATGCTTGCTCCTCATGCCAAAAGTTGCCATCCCCCATCTGAGAAAAACATTCTGTATGAAAAGAACTATAGTGATCTAGATACCATGATAGAAGTTGATATATACCACTGCACTGCTTATGTCTTCTACAGCCATGTCACTGGCTGAAAACCAAAAATTCCTCTAGATTTACCATTTTACACAAGGACCACCATTAGTAAATGTATACAACCAAGTACACTAACCAATAATGTCAGATGTTTGGACAGTGGTTGCATTACCCAGGGTCATATTCATGGCATCATCAGTTATTGTGGGAGTTGGATAGGTTGACGTTTTGGTCTGCGATGTATCACTACTAAATGGCTGTGTTTTCTCCAGAGCTGATGACATGGTTGTTACTTTTTGTGTTAATTCAGTCTGAATAGTCTTTGCTGCAGAAGCAGTACTTGAATCTAAAGAAAGTAAAATTAACTGTTTATAAGTATTTATTAGCAACTATGTCTGTTTTTGTTAACAGAGACTGACTTATAAAATTAAATTGAGGAGGATAAGTAATTAGTAGAGCAGTAAAAAGCACGTTGAGTGGGACACAGTACTGGATATCATGCAACAATAATGGATTTTAGAATATCTTTTTCTGTATTTTGAAATTTACATTTTAACAAGATGAAAAAGAGGTTGCTGATTTTAAAGATATTAAATTGTGTGCATTTCCTTTCTATATGTTGCACTTGGCATTTAGTTCTCTCTATGAAAAGGTTTATAGTGCCTGTCAAAATGTAATAGCTGTACATATGATGGTTATAAACATAATAAAACAAATATGAATGTAAAGGTCCCCAACCTCAACGTCAAATATACAGTATCTCACAAAAGTGAGTACACCCCTCACATTTTTGTAAATATTTTATTATATCTTTTCATGTGACAACACTGAAGAAATGACACTCTGCTATAATGTAAAGTAGTAAGTGTACAGCCTGTATAACAGTGTAAATTTGCTGTCCCCTCAAAATAACTCAACATACAGCCATTTCCCCTCTCTGGTGTCATGTGACTGGTTAGTGTTACAACGTCTGAGGTGTGAATGGGGAGCAGGTGTGTTAAATTTGGTGTTCTCTCTCTCACACTATCTCATGCTGGTCACTGGAAGTTCAACATGGCACCTTGTGGCAAAGAACTCTCTGAGGATCTGAAAAAAAGAATTGTTGCTCTACATAAAGATGGTCTAGGCCAGGGGTCGATAACCTCTGGCAAGTGTGCCACTTGCGGCACGCGTGGTGCATTTGAACGGCACGCAAGGCTACCGACCAATCTACACTGATGGAAGGCAGAAGGGAACTTAGGCGGTGGCGGAACTTCCAGCATTACAAGAACTTGCGATCTGGAGTTCTGCCTATCAGGCTACTTTTACCTCAGCTCCAATGACGTCTGCCTCTGTGTGCCTCACCTTCAACCCTCCCACTCTGTCAGCAGCATCCTCAGCCCCGCCTCCTGCCTAGTCTTCAGCCCCGCCTCCTGACCTCCTACTCTGTCAGCAGCATCCTCAGCCTGGATGATTTATTTACAGGTTACATTTACAGTAAATCTGTGTGGGGCTTCTTGTTTATGTGAGACAATCAGAAGCAGTAGTGATCACAGGGATCATTTCTGCTCCTGACTGTGTCACAAAATCAGAGATTGCCTTGTCCCTTGTGTCTGCCACTGCTACTACCCTTGTGTCTGCTACTACCACTTCACATGTGTTTGCCTGTCAGTCCCTGACCCTGAATACTATCAGGTAAATTGCCTTAATTTACCAGGTGCCAGTGCCACACTATTTTTGTTACAAATAAATGCTCATCAGGACATAGAGGGATGGTCCCCAAGAGCTTGCAATCTAACACAAGTTAACTTTACTGTGATACGAAGAACTGTCTGTATCAGACAGTCCATTTATATCACATAAATGTTAACTTGTGTTAGATTGTCCTGGTCTCTATATGTAAAGGCTCGAGGGAATACCCACAAAAGCTTGCAATCTAAGTCAAGTTAGCATTGCCCAATTATGTAAAAGATACAAACAGAAATACTGTCTTCAGCGATGCATTTAACGCGTGGCTGACAGGCCATATGCCTTGAGCGGCACTTTCCAGGGGGCGGCCCCCAAATGCCCCGGCCTTGTTAGCCTCGTTTTATGGGGGCCCAAGAGCTGACCGGTGGGCCAGCTTTGGGCCCCCTCGGGGTGGACAGCCTGTTGTTTTCCATGAGGGCGGTGTGGGAGCGCTGATCTGTGAGCTCTTCCTGCTCTGACCCCCTGTGAGCCGCTTAGTGTTGCCACAAGCTGAAATATGACATCAGTCCGGCTCCAGGCATCATTAAGTGGTGTGCAAGGGAGCTAAGCAAGAAGATCACAGCTCCCTCGCTGCCTACTTTGCGAGTCTGCCTGCCCGCAAGCCCACCTGCCTGCACGCCCAGCAGCCCCACTGGACCCCAGGTAAATAATCCACCCAGCTTTCTCAACAGTAATGAGGCTGGGTAGATTTAAATTTAGAAAAATAGCAATAATTTGTGAGTGTTGTGGGAAAATATGTGTGTGTTTGCCAGTGAATATGTGTGTGTGTGTGTGTGTCTGTCAGTGAGTTTGTGTGTCTGTCAGTATGTTTGTGAGTGAGTGAGTGAATGTGTGTGCTGGTCATTGAATGTGGGTGGATGGGTGTGTGTCTGTGAGTGAGTTTGTGTATGTCTGTCAGTGTGTGTCTGAGTGAGTATGTATGTGTCTGTCAGTGAATGTGTGTGTATGAGTGTGCGTGTCAGTGCTTCTGTCAATGTGTGTCTGAGTGATTGTGTGTCTGTCAGATTGTGTCAAATCAGTGTGTGTGTGTGTGTGTGTGTGTATGTCAGGGTTTCTAAGTGTGTGCTTGTCTGTGAGTGGGTGTGTCACTGTCTGTCAGTCAAAATGTGTGTTAGTCTTTAACGGGAAGAGGTGGGGCAAATTTAAATTAGAGGGTTCCCAAGTTCATCATGCCTTGGGCAGCACAAATCCAAAATATGCCACTGAATACATTAATCCACTCCGTACATAGTGTGAGACCTGTGATAAACTGTCAGCTGAGCACTCTCAGTCAATCACTGTCTTAATCTCTGGTATGGCTTGAGATGGAAGCATAGTTCTGTCTCCTCTGCATCATCATGGTTACTGGGGGCCAACTTGCACTGCTAAATGGTGAGCAAACCATTTAGTAGTGACGTGGATCCTGGCACCCACGGACTCCAGGTAACTTAACCACTTAAATACATTTAAGTGGTTATGGTTGTTTTTTGGGGGGAACCCTTTTGGGCCCTGCCACGCTCTAAATTAATATTGCAGTAGAGCTAACCTGGGCTTACCAGACTACTGGCGACAAGCTGTGATTGTGGCTGACACGGTCCTGGAGGGGGCTCTAAGCATATAGCGGCCTGGTGTGCACCATGGAAGAGAGAGGCGGCCAATCTCCCGCCTGGAGCAGCCTGTGCCAAGCCAAACTCCAGCTGGTGCCCTGTCCTCCCTCCTTTGGACCTGTGGGGATTATGCCGGTCTAGACCCAGGAGGTTCCTCAGTGAGCTGGGAGCACACAACACCACCACAAAGCCGACACCACGTGGCAACTAAAAGGACAGCCACCAGGTGTGCTTCTGACCCAGGCAGTGGGAAATGGGATGTGCAGGATTGGCTGAACCGGCTCTTTGACGCCTTTTGGGAGAATCTGACAGCTTGCCTGGAACCAGTGGCCCCAGCAGCAGCGATCACACACAGGGTCTCTAACTCAGGAAGATGCAGAGGGCAGTGGACACAACACGTCGGAACCGAACATGGCAGAGACGGCAGGTCACAATGGCTGTGAGAAGGAGCAACACTCCATCATGCCTACATTTAAATTGGTTATGCTCTACTGCATTAGAGGGGCAAAAGGAGCAGCAACTCAGTGTGTCTCCAAATCTTTGCTGCATACTGCTCAGGCTTCTAAATGGGACGCAGACCTGTTCAGCACTTCAACACAGCATGGCTGCGACCTACCCCAGAGGAGCATAGGTTGATAAAAGTCAGAGACTCCTAATAGCGGGATCTCCACAGCCCAGAGTACTCTTTCCCTAATGCCTATGGCTGAGGCCTTCTAGGTGTACCACCATTTTCTAGATCTAATTGTCATTACATGTCTACTTTTGATTGCTCATCCACTACTACTGAAACGGACACAGGCATGTAAACCTAGCCTGTTACTACTAGCAAATTGTGCAGTATATAAGAATGACATACAATCATTTCATTATAGTACTTGTATCTGTTTTACTTCTCACTGTTCTGGCGAGAAAAGTTGAAATGTAATCTTATGCACAACAAAAATAAAGAATTATTTATTTTTTTTAAAAAGGAAAGGATCTTTGTACTTATTTACCCTCTTATTGAAGCCCATTTTGTCAGTGTGTCATTTGTTATTTTCTTGTGTTATTAGACTGGGGCTGAACTCTACAGGTCTGTCTGTGGCATGTACCATGTGCTAGTCATTTCTGACAAAATGGGACATTTACACCTATTTAATCCTTTAATATTTAATATACTGCCCCTCCTGATTAATTTTATTTTCCTGTTCAAGAAATGGCAGTTAATGAAATGGCAGTTAATGAGGAAAAATAAATAAGCAGAGGAGAAAGTATTTGAGATTTAAAGATATGAGGATAGGTCATAAATAGTGAACATAAATTAACAAGACTATTAGCACAATAACTAACAAGTACAAACATGAATAAATAGTTACTTGCCACTGGAAGGCTGGATGGTCCATGGCACACTAACTGAGGCTCAATTTCTACTGACCAGGGCCACATTTTCCTTAGTACAAATGCAGTACTAGAATGGGTTAGCATACAGTGACTGGCACTGAATTGAATTGAACCCTATTTAGAAGACTATTTCTAGATGAAAGGCATCTTACCTGAGTGAGAAGATGATAGAATATATTGTGTTATGAAGCTGGCTGATACTAGTTAACGGTTTTGGATCGCCTAAATTAAATATCAAGTGAAACTATTTTCTCTAAATACTCATGGTACATAAGCAGATATTTCACTATTGAACACCTTATGCATTCACATTGTTTAGGGATTTAGAGAGTGTTGCAATTTTAGCCCTCCTCTTCTAGTAGGATTTCCAGATAATCTTATTTGGAAAGACAGGGTTTCATCAAATCCCATACATATGCATAAATATAAAAGTAAAAATATCCAGGAGCTTATAACATATCTAATAAAACATATATCTAATAAGACATAAGATATATTAATTGAGAATGTGAATAACAGTATAGGCACATATAATATTAATACAATCTAAAATGCTAAGAAAATCCAGAAAAATAAATTACTGGATAATAGCTCTGTATAAAAGTCCAAATTGTAGATACACAAGGGGTCAGTCCAAATAAGAAAGCAAATGGTTATAGCACATATAATCCTTGAATATGTATCATAAATAACCTCTGACCTGCTAGGGTATCCTTTACAGAATCGGATGAGATTTTTATGAATTCAGTCTACATTCATGTGGGAAGGTCTTGAAATAAACATAGAATATTGTAATCAAACCTAGCCTTGTTAATATCGCAAATTAACAGCCTAATTAATAGTTCCAAGCAGCAATCTGGGCCAGCTGCCAAGAAACCGCAACTGTAGCAGCCGGAATGAATATTAAAATGTTCCGTGTTGGTACCCAAATTATACTTTTAAAAAGTGTCCATCTGTGTCAAAATGACTTGTAAAAATTAGTATTTGTTAAAAATAAAACTTTATTCACATCAAAAATAATAATAGTAATAGATAATTCCAATAAAACATAAAATACTGGGTAAAAAATATTCCACAAGGATATTCCAAAATGAAAGAAAGTAAAAAGATAATGTAACCTGAACAGTTCGTCTGGATGGCTGAGGATGGTGATATTCCCCTTCCATCGCCATCCTCCTGGATATTTTTACTTTTAATCTTATTTGGCTTGTTAGAAAGTGGAAAGGTAAATTCACTGTCACTAAGAGGGGTGCACCTCTACTAAGAGGGTTGAATCTTAATATATTCTTCCATAATACACAGTTTACTCAGGGACCCTCCCTAAATTCCCTCCAATGGTGGCAAGTTAACTGTCTCAATGATGTTTGTGTCTTAAACAGTTACTCTGACCAAAAACAATGTTTTAATAAAAAAAACTAACTTTTTTAAAATCATTCTGCAAGCAAAGTCTAGTAGACTAAGAGAGCATGAAATCAAAGAGGAAGAGTGAAAAAGAGAAAAAAAAATAGAGGAGGAGGATCATGGGGAAAAAAAGGGGAGGGATATGGACAGAAGAGGAAAGGGGAGGTCTTTGGATGTCCATCGCTAGCATGCTATGTATGCCCACAATGGACATATTCTATGCACATAATTCATACTATTCAGCTTGGAACTCTTGCTCCAAGCTTGCTAATGATGCAGACTCTTATTTTTCCCACAATGAACTCTTGCTCTCAACCTCCTTAGTGGCAGCAATGGCAACAGTATTCATTAGTAATGACCCTCCCTCCCAGCAGCAGACCCTCCCACCTCCTGGACAGCATCCGTTTTACATCCATTGTGAAGCTGCATTCTTAGTGAGCTGTCCAGGAGGTGGGAGGGTCTGGGAGGGAGGGTCTGCTACCGATTGGCTGGAATGTGTCTGCTGACTGTGAGGTACAGGGTCAAAGTTTACTCAATGATGAGTCCGTGGCGAACCGTTCGGGACATCACTATTCATTAGCCAAAATTCATAGAACAAAAGAAAACAAAGTTACCTGTCAACACTGTAAATGTGTCATGCCTCTAATCCTTCTAATTATATATTTAAAATTATTTGTGTACTATTTTATGACCTTCAATACCACAATTAAAATAAGAATAACATAGGAAGAATGAAAGAATAAAATAGGATTAAGCAGGAAGATGGTATATTTTTTTCAAAGTATAGCGGCAATACGCATGGGTTGTTCCAATCCATAGTGGACAGGTAACCTCCTACATAAAAATAAATCCTTGAACTACCAGTTCATACACTCTTGGTGTAGGTAGTGCAGCAGAGGTTGCTTGCAGCGAGAAAGATTGCAGTGACAAGTGTGCCCAGTCTGACTGGTTGTAGGACTAAATTAGAATGGAGGCTTGGAGTCTACCATTTATTAGTTACGCACTTTGGCTATGCATCCCAGTGAAACAGGAGGAGATAATACATGGCAAGCCTTGTGCTTGCTCAAAGCAGAGTAACATACGCTTGGAAAGTGGATGCATTCAACAGCCTATTAAGTCACACTACTGCACATGCACATACAGAAAGCCATTCTTGTCAGAACATGGAAAACTGTGTTCACCAAGCCTCGAACATGGTCTGAAGTCTTTTAAGATAAGAATAAGTTCTCTTAAAAGACTTAAAAGAAACCCATTTGAAATAAATTTGGGTATGTGATTTTATTCATATCTGTTTTTCAGATCTTTTTTCAGATAAAAGTGATGACAATGGTCTCATATGCCTGCACAGAAGTCAAAAGTATTGCTTGCATTGAGAAATCTAAACAAAAGGTAATGTTTTCCTTTCTAGCATAGTTTCAGTAAAACCTGGAACAAACTTTTTCTGAAGTTAAAGAAGCAACGTTACAAAGAAAGCTTTATTGCAGTATCAAGTCCTAAAGGGAAAAAGAGACAGAGATCACCTTAAGAATTATTCTTAAGGAGAATGCTCTACATAGTTACATAGCTGAAGAGAAACTTGTGTCCATCAAGTTCAGCCTTCCTCGCATTTGTTTTTTTCTGTTGATCCAAAAGAAGGCAAAAACCCCAGTTTGAAGCATTTCCAATTTTGCAACCATCTAGGAAAAAAATTCCTTCTTGACCCCAGAATGGCAGTCAGATTTATCCTTCGATCAAGCAGTTATTACCCTACATTGAACTTTTATATCCTTGAATATTCAGTTTTTTCAAGTATGCATCTAGTAGCTGTTTGAACATCTGTATGGACTCTGATAAAACCACTTCTTCAGGCAGAGAATTCCACATCCTTATTGTTCTTACAGTAAAAAAAAAAACCTTTCCTTTGCCTTAGACAAAATTTTCTTTCTTCCAGTCTAAATGCATGACCTCGTGTCCTATGTAAAGTCCAGTTTGTGAATAGATTTCCACACAATGGTTTGTATTGGCCCCGAATATATTTGTATAATGTTATCATATACCCTCTCAGGCGACGTTTTTCTAAACTAAATAGGTTTAAATTTGTTAACCTTTCTTCATAGCTGATATGTTCCATTCCTTTTATTAATTTGTAGCCCGCCTCTGCACTTTTTCTAGTGCCATAATATCCTTCTTTAGAACAGGTGCCCAAAATTGCACAGCATATTCAATATGTGGTCTTACCAGTCATTTATAAAGAGGCAAAATGATATCCTCGTCCCAAGAATTAATGCCCTTTTTCATGCATGACAATACCTTATTGGCCTTGGCCACTGCAGATTGACATGGCACATTGTTGCATAGTTTGTTGTCTATAACAATTCCCAAGTCCTTTTCGTGTGTTGTTATCCCTAACTCTCTTCCATTAAGGGTATACCTTGCTTGTCTATTCTTTAAGTCGAAGTGCATAACTTTGCATTTTTCGACATTAAATTTCATCTGCCATTTGAGTGCCCAGTCCCCCAGTCTATCTAAATCCCTCTGCAGCAAAGTAATATCTTGCTCACATTGTATTATTTTACAGAGTTTTGTGTCATCTGCAAACACTGAAACGTGACTTTCAATGCGGTATTCAAGATCATTTATAAACGTGTTAAATAGAAGGGGTCCCATAACAGACCCCTGAGGGACACCACTTGCTACCTCTGTCCAGCTTGAAAATTTACCATTAATGAAAACTCTTTGTACTCTGTTTTTAAGCCAATGTTCTACCCAAGAACAAGCATTTTCATCTAGACCTATTTCCCCGAGTTTGAACACTAATCTATTGTGTGGAACTGTATCAAATGCCTTGGCAAAATCCAAATAGATCACATCCACTGCAACACCCTGATCTATACTTCTACTTATGACTTCGTAGAATGCAATCAAGTTAGTTTGACATGACCTATGCTTCATAAAACTGTGCTGATTGTTGCTGATAACCATGTTCTTCTCAAGGAATTCTTGAATATTATCCCTTAATAACTTTTCAAATATTTTCCTAGCCACAGAAGTTAAGCTCACAGGTCTATAATTTCCAGGCAAGGATTTTGAACTCTTTTTAAATATAGGAACCACATCTGCCTTCCTCCAATCCTCCGGAACACTTCCTGAAAGAAAAGAATCTTGAAAGATTAAAAACAGAGGTTCACTTATTTCTACACTTCGTTCCTTAAGTACACGTGGATGGATACCGTCAGGCCCTGGAGCTTTGTTTATATTAACTTGCTGCAGCACCTTGTCTTGAGTTAACCAATTACAATTATTCTGCAAGTTTTTAGTAGCAATCATTTGCACGTCTATTGCCATGGGTTCTTCCTTAATATATACGGATGAAAAATAGTTATTTAAAATTCCTGCCTTTTCCTGGTCTTCATTAACTAACACCCCCGTTTCAGTTTTTAGTGTACCTACACTTTCATTTTTGTTTGTTTTAGAATTTATGTACTTAAAAAAATGATTTGGGGTTGGTTTTGCTCTCTTCAGCTATCATTTTTTCAATTTGAAGTTTAGCAAATCTAATTGCCTTTTTTCACGCATTATTTGCTTCCTTATATCTTTTATAAGATGCATCTGATTTGTCCGATTTAAATGCTTTAAGTGTCCTTTTCTTATTTTTAATCTCTTGTTTTACTTCTCTACTTAGCCACATTGGTTTTGATTTGTTTCTTTTATATTTATTACCCAATGGTACATACTGAGAAATGTACCTTTCTAATATTTGTTGGAAGATGATCCAATTATCCTTAGTGTTCTTTTCACTAAAGAGTTTATGCCAGTCAATATATTGTAAAGCTGCCCTTAACTTATTGAAATTGGCCTTTTTAAAATTATATGTTTTAGTATACCCCATGTGCTTTAGTTTTTTCAAGTTTATTTCAAAGGACACTATATTGTGATCACTATTTCCCAAGTGCTCACCTACTTGAATGTTGGTCAAAAGATCAACGTTGTTTGTTAAAACCAGATCCAGACAAGCGTCCATTCTAGTTGGTGCTTGTACAATTTGTGACATGAAGGTGTAATTTAACAAGTTTAAAAACCTAATTCCCTTTGCTGAGCTACTAGTCCCTCTGTCCCAATTTATGTCCTATTTTTTTATATCATTGTTTAGTGTATGCTACTGCCTGTTCCCCCATTTTGTTATTTAGGCTCCTTGCATTAGTAAGCATACATTTAATATCATGAGTCATGTTGTGGAAATAAGGTCTACACATATTTCCTAGTTAAAGGAAAATGTCTATTTACTCATCTCACACTATGCTATAGAGTTAAGCACACATGTTTAATCAAAATGGCTGCTAGAAGCTTCTAACCCCTTCCTCCCCCTGCCCCTTTAAACACCGACTAACTACCTCGTGCAGCAAGATGGTGCCGGGAAACCGTGGGAGACCCTCATGGACCTGGTGACATGAAATATTGACATATTTTTAGCTAGTAAAATGTCTATTTACTTCATTTAGTTATACTTAATATTATTCAATAAATTACTAAACTGACCACTAGATGTCACTCAGGAGCACCCCACCCATCGACCAAACACTCTAATTTTCAAGATGGCGCCGGAATCCTGGGGGAGAACTCCATGACGACAGTAATGACATAAGAAGGCACACCCTGTAGGGCGTGCTTTGAATAAAACACTTAACACTTGACCAATTATTGATGTATTATTCCATGTTATCTCTGACAATGCTTATGATGTAATTTTGCTTTAAAAGGGACCTGCCGTCCCCTCTGAATAAACTTTCCTCAAGTTATTCAACAACCTAGAACCTGTGTCTGGTGTGAATTACTTCAGGGAGCGTGCACGCATTGTTTCATTGATTTGGCCAGGGGCAGATACACAAAGAAATAATCAATACTTTAATTGATTTTTCCATTTCAATTGGCGCCCAACGTGGGGCCCCCGGATTTGCCGGTTCGGAGGGCCGGATACCAAGGACCAGAGCGGACCCCCAGAAAATGGGACAAGCGGAGCCTGATCACCTCCATAATACAGCCGTTGCCTGTGTTATTCTCCTGTTTTGTGTCGGTCTGTCTCCGAGTCCACTTCCGGCTTCCAGAAGGCTACTAGAGACAGGTATTTAGCTCATCCGGGGTACCTTTTTAAAGTGAACCTGTCGATTGTCTATCTGCCTCCTGTACTTGTTTGAATGTGTGTGACGGCCGGAGTGTGTGTTTTCCCCCTTTTTAAAAGACAATAGCTTGACTGCCTAGCGGGCAGGGAACGCATTTTATATGTTAGCTTGACTGCCTAGCGGGCAGGGAACGCATTTTATATGTTAGCTTGACTGCCTAGCGGGCAGGGAATGCATTACAGCCGGTGGGGCTGGGTTTAATATGTTAGCTTGACTGCCTAGCGGGCAGGGAACGCATTTTATATGTTAGCTTGACTGCCTAGCGGGCAGGGAACGCATTTTATATGTTAGCTTGACTGCCTAGCGGGCAGGGAACGCATTACAGCCGGTGGGGCTGGGTTTTATATGTTAGCTTGACTGCCTAGCGGGCAGGGAACGCATTACAGCCGGTGGGGCTGGGTTTTATATGTTAGCTTGACTGCCTAGCGGGCAGGGAACGCATTACAGCCGGTGGGGCTGGGTTTTATATGTTAGCTTGACTGCCTAGCGGGCAGGGAACGCATTACAGCCGGTGGGGCTGGGATTTTGTTTGATTACTGCAGAGTTTCATTGGTACTTGTGTTATAACGGGGCCAGCCTGGTAGGGGAGGGCTGGGGATTGCTACATTTTAAATATTTGGTACTAGTGGTGTTAACATGTACATGGCCATTTTACTCTCTGTCATTCTGTGGTTTTTTGTTTAATTGTTGTTACAGTGTGGGTACCCTTGGTGTGTGTGTGTGTGTGTGTATGTATATAGTGTGGCTAGTTCTGGATTCTGGGGTTTACACTCATCTCTATGTTTGTGATTTTTGCAAATGTCTTCTTGTTAGTGTAACCACTTTCATCTTTTCATTTGTCCTTTATCTCTTCTGTGTTTGTTGCCCAGAGCTGTGTTAGTCACCCACGCTCGCCCCCTCCGGTCTGTGGCCACCACCCCCGGGTGCACAGACCATCGTGACTAGTCTACGTTTTGGGAAGACGCACGGGTCCACCGTGGCAGTCGAGCACTGTAGACTTTCCTACTTCTTCTTCCCTCTCACTTGGTCTCCTTTACTTGGCAGACCTCGCTTGGTCAAAAAGGGGCAAGTACATGCTAGACCAATTAAGGGGTATTTGGCTTGTGATATTGTTAAAGAGAGGGCAGGGGAAGAAGCTATGCTGAAAATGAAAAGGTTAGCAAAGATTTCTGGTTTCCAAACGTATAAATCTCTGTCCTTCTGTCTTGTTACTTTACGGAGCTCACATGGTTAATCTTCAAGCCTGCAGTCTCTCTCTCTCTCTCTCTTTTTTGCATTCTGCCTCACTCCCCCCACACCTGCTTAAGGGGGAGGAGTGACATGCCTGCGCTTTGGAGCTACCGATAAGAGTTAGAGACGGGATTTTTGCTGGAAAATATTCTAATTGTGTAGTATTGTGTACATTGTTGCCTACATAGACGTTGACAGGCAGGTTTTGGAGCTATAATTGTGTAATAATATTTTTATTGTTGCCATTTGGATGGCGCCAACAGATTCCGTAGTGCTATATATACACTTATAAATTATGTTTTGTGATAAGGTACTGAGGATTGTGGGAGTGACGAGCTCACAAGATTGCATTCAGTGTTGAATACGAGATTTAGGAAGGTGTAGCCGGTTAACACTGATAGAGGGAATATGCGAAATTGTTAAGACAGTATAAGAGGAGGAAAGTGATTAATGGTTGGAGGAAGATAAGGGAAATTGGTTGAATTCCGTGAGTTTATCTTGCATCATGTTAAAGTACATTTTTCTATGGATAGCTTTATGGGCTGTTAAATGCATAATGTTCTCAACTGTCTTATTTAACCTGCCAGGTCTGTTCATAGTTTAATATTTCATTTTTGTAGAACGGAATGTTGCTTCTCTGACTTATTTTGTTAGTTATAATATGGTGTATTGTTGAAAGTACGTCAGCCACCACCCTAAAGATGGCGCCTAGTACAGAAGGAGGTTGACCCTGCCAGTCCCGTGACCTATCTACAGTCACGGTTGCTTCTAAAGTAACGTCACTTCCGCCCTTACCATGCCCACACCTCCTGTCTTCCTTTCCCACACCTATCATGGACTTCACTTCCTCCCTTGCTGTCATTTCCTTCCCCGCCCCTGTCATGGCTGCCTCCATCATGAGGCCTACCCATATTATGCTCATCCTATTTAGAGACATGTTGTTTTCCTTACGCTCTACATATTATGAACTGAAACATTATAATTACTAAAACAATCATGCCATTTGTGTCCGTGTTATGAAAAAAAAAAAGAAAAAAAAAAGTTGCTAAAAAGTCATTTGCACCTGTGGTGTGCCCTACAAATGAGTTCCGTTGGGCACGAATATAAGAGCATAACAGCTGATTATCCAGATGAATATTCATTAATGCCTGTGTCTTGCAACAAGGGAAATTGCAAAATAATGCAAGTTATTTTAAACATTGTATCTTTACTTAATAGAATCTTGCTAGTTACAAATCGTATGTTTACAGTAACATCCTTTACGTTAAATGACATTCCTCCGCCTCCCTGTCCCCCGCCACCTTTACCTATGCTTGCCTCTCGTCCCCTCTCCACCTCGACTGACCCCTCCCCCGTGTTACCCACTCACCCGTCTCCATCCGCTGCCCCGCTCTCTACCCTCTCGACCTTACTCACCCCACCGCCCCAGATCCTCCAGACCCTTGTCCTCCCGCTGATCCCGCTTCCCTTATGCCTCCGGACCTCTCTTCTACCTCGTTGTCCCCACCCCTCCCGACTGATTTGCCGTCCCTAATCTCTGCCCTCACTGCCCTGACCCAGCCCCCCGTTCCCACCCCTCCAACCCCTTCTCCAGTGGTACCCCCTCCCGATATCCCGGTCCCCTTTACCTCGTTGCCTCCTCCCCTCTCGGCTGATTTGCCGTCCCTATTCTCTGCCCTTACCGCCCTGACCCAGCCCCCCCGTTACCACCCCTCCAACCCCTTTACCTCCTCCTCCCGAAGTCCCGGCCACCTCTACCTCGTTGCCTCCTCCTCCCTCGGCCGATTTGCCGTCCTTGATTTCTGCCCTCACCGCCCTGACCCAACCCCCTGTTACCACCCCTCCAACCCCTTTACCTCCTCCTCCCGAAGTCCCGGCCACCTCTACCTCGTTGCCTCCTCCTCCCTCGGCCGATTTGCCGTCCTTGATTTCTGCCCTCACCGCCCTGACCCAACCCCCCGTTACCACCCCTCCAACCCCTTTACCTCCTCCTCCCGGCCACCCCTACCTCGTTGCCTCCTCCTCCCTCGGCCGATTTGCCGTCCCTGATCTCTGCCCTCACCGCCCTGACCCAACCCCCCGTTACCACCCCTCCAACCCCTTCTCCAGTGTTACCTCCTCCTCCCGATATCCCGGTCCCCTCTACCTCGTTGCCTCCTCCCCTCTCGGCTGATTTGCTGTCCCTAATCTCTGCCCTTACCGCCCTGAATGAGCCCCCCGTTCCCACCCCTCCAACCCCTTCTCCAGTGGTAAGCCATCCCGATATCCCGGTCCCCTCTACCTCGTTGCCTCCTCCCCTCCCGACTGATTTCCCGTCCCAACCCTCTACCCACGCTGTTACGACCCAGCCCCCTGTTCCCATCCCTCCGACCCCTCCCCCGGTGACCCCTGACCCAACCATGGCCAATGACCTGTCTAGCTCGATATCCGCCCTCTTCTCTGCTGTTACCTCCCTGGTTAATTCCGCGATTCCTGCCCCGCCTCCCACTGATTTACCTCCTCCACCTCCTCCCTCTGATCCTCCAACCCCTTCTCCGCCCCCGGCTAACGTCCCCGAGCCTTCCGATCCAATCTCTGCCCTTGCTCACGTCCTTAATACTCACCTATCACGCCCATCCCAGCCAGCCCCCTGCTTTACAGGCCCGTGCATACCCTCCAGCTCATGCTGATGGGTTTGACACGGGTGGTTTCCGAGATATTCAGCCCCTACCTCGACAATGCCGCCTTGCCCGTGCTCCTATGCAGTCCAGCCACCCTCCCACTTCTACCCACCGGTACCAAGGACCCGACCAGGCCCATTTAGATTTACTGCAATAGGTTACCGGCAAGCCTGTGTCAGCAACCCCTGCCATGACCCCTCCTTTTTGTCAGACACCGATGTCTCCTGTGTTGGGGTGGATGGTACACCCCGCAGTAGCCCCCTCCCTACACTCCTGCATGTTGGTTCACACATACTCTCACGTTTTGTTGTTTCTTCTACTTGTCCCATTAACCTCTTGGGTGCTGATGTTCTTTCTCGGCTCCAGGGTCCAGTTAACTACACCCTTATCACAGACAGACACCACTGTACTCTGCTCACTCCCCATCTTGTTGAACCTAACTGACAATACAGGGAGTGCACGGGTCACACACGCCCCCAGTGCTCTGGATCGTATCCCCCAAGAACTTTGGTCCACCGGCCCGGATGATATTGGACGCTTACATGTACCCCCCGTCCTGGTCCAGCTCCTGCCTGGAGCACTTCCTCCTCGTAGACCTCAGTATCCTCTGAAGCCAGCACAAGCAGAAGCCATCACCAAACAAGTTGAGTCTCTGCTTGCCAAAGGTGCCCTCACCAAGTGCACATCTCCATGCAACACCCCACTTTTCCCTGTTAAAAAGCGAACTGTTAAGGGCCAACCCGGCCAGTACCGCATGGTACAGGACCTCCGTGCTGTTAATGAAGTAACCATAAAGGACACTGCTATTGTTCCAAACCCCCATACCCTTTTGTCCCAGGTGCCACCCAATTCAACAATTTTTTTTTTTTTTCTGTAGTGGATCTAGCTAATGCCTTTTTCAGTGTCCCCCTTGACCCTTCCTGCCGTTTTCTCTTCGCCTTCACACATGAAGGACAACAATATACCTGGACTGTTATGCCTCAGGGAGCTCAGATCTCTCCCACACAGTTTGCTCATGCCATGTCTCTAGTTTTGGATCCCTGGCAGAAATCTCATCTGGATGTTATTCTACTTCAAGATGTTGATGACCTCCTTCTCTGTGCTCCTAATTTGCTTATTGCAGAGCGTGACTCAGAAGATCTCCTATGTTTCCTCGCTGCTGCAGGGTGCAAGGCCTCAAAATCAAAGCTACAATGGTGCCGGCCCTCTGTGGTCTTCTTGGGACATTGCCTTTCCCATGGCACCAAACATTTAACCTCACAACGGGTGCAAGCTATCCTGCAACTCCCATTACCTGCAACTCATCACTCTCTTCATGCTTTCTTGGGACTCATCACATACTGCAGGTCCTGGATACCTGAAGCATCCAAACTCATGCAGCCACTCTATGATGCCCTCAGGAGTGAGCCCTCTCACCTCACTGAAGAAACTATTAACTGTTTCCATACTCTGAAAAGAGCTATTGCTTCTGCACCTGCTTTGGGCCTACCCAACTACCAACTCTCTTTCAATTTGTTTGTCTCTGAGAAATCAGGACATGCTTCCGGAGTCCTTACTCAGAAACATGGGTCCAGACAACGGCCTATTGGCTATTTTTCCTGCATGCTTGACCCTGTTGCAAGGGGCAGCCCCTCTTGCCTCCGTGCTGTGTTTGCCGCCAGTGCCCTCTTGGACAAGACTAATGACTTTGTTCTTGGTCACCACCTCACGGTGTTGGCCCCTCATGACATTACTGCAATCCTGCAACAAGTTCAACCTAAGCACCTTTCTTCTCAACGTTACCTTCGTCTACAAACATCCTTACTGTTACCTGACAATGTGAAACTTCAGCGATGTCTCTCCCTGAACCCGGCCACTCTTCTGCCACTTCCCAAGGGGGGAATTGTGCATTACTGGTATAGCCTGGACATCAACCCAGAGGTTCGAGCAGATTTGCAGCTGCCTGCACTTGCACCCCCACATGATGAACAATCAGAGGCCCTACTTCACTGCACCTTATGGTTTAAAGACAGACCAGGCCCTGATATGAACTATGAGGAAGAATTATTCCAGCTCAAGGAAATTCAAATTACCCTGACTGACTTGTTATGGGACCCCACAGGTACCTTGCTCATCTTAGTCGATCTTCCAGAGAACATGACACATCTCTACCATCATTGGGAAACAGCTATCCCACACATATCTCTCACCAGATCCCCTGACACCTCATGGAAAGACCTAGGCCCGATGGCCAAGACCTGGAGTCAAATGAACCAAGAGCAACTGACTTCTATGGGGATCAGCAAAAGACTATTAACTACTGTACAGCAGGGTACCCTAGGTACCACACAGACGTCTGTGAGGACCCACTCATCATAGACTGTGACCCTGATATTTCCCCACTTAGCTGATCAGGCCGCTAAGGAAGCAGCACGACAAGGATGGGAAGTGGACAGAAGAGTGGCCACAGATGCAGTACCCATCTACACTATGCAAACACAAGCTGCTGCTACTCCCCAGGAGAAACAAAGTTGGAAGAACAAAGGAGCTGTACTCCGTGATGATGTTTACACTATCAATCTCAAGTTTTGCCTACCCAGAAATATGTATCCAGCGGTGGTCCAATGGCCCCATGGGCCAGCCCACCTGTCAAAACATCTGATGAACTCATTGATTGACAAGTATTTTGAAGCACCAGGCATCACTACCTTAACACAGAATTACTGTAAATCTTGTACTATACTAAAAAACTTGTACTAAATGCAATCCTGGAAAGATTATAAAGACTGCACCTAATCATCTAGCTAAACCACAATACCCCTTCCAGAGGATCCAGATTGATCACATTCAGATGCCAAAGAGTGGACGTTATGAATATGCATTGGTTATAGTGGACATGTTTTCAGGATGGCCAGAGGCCTTCCCATTGACTAATCTCACCGCGAGGACTACAGCCAAGTACCTTTTGACAGAAATTGTTTACCGCTACGGGGTTCCAGAAGTAATTGAAAGTGACCAAGGGACCTCCTTCACTGCCTCGCTAACACGGGAAGTCTGGTCAGCACTGGGGGTGACCCTTGCATTCCACACACCATATCACCCACAGAGTAGTGGTAAGGTAGAGCGCATGAACGGCACTCTGAAAGCCAGAATGCTTAAAATGTCACAAGAAACTAACATGCCCTGGCCCGAGAGTCTCCCACTAGCGTTATTCAGTGTAAGGTACACTCCCAGAGGAAAATATAGTTTGTCACCTTATGAGATTTTGTTTGGTACAGCACCCAGGTTAGGTTGCTACTTTCCCCAACAGCTTCAGATTCAGTCAGACGCTATGGTAGACTATGTGACTGCCCTTTCACATGCCTTGACCAAGATACATGCCCAAGTGTTTTCTTCTATTCCAGATCCTGAGTCGAATACAGGTACACACAAGCTGCTTCCAGATGATTGGGTTATGGTTAAGAAGTTCCTTAGGAAATACACCCTAGAACCGAGATTTGATGGTCCTTATCAAGTGCTCCTGATTACAGCAACGTCAGTTAAACTAGCTGGGAAAAGTTCCTGGATACACGCTTCACATTGCAAAAAAGTGCCTGCTCCAGAAGAAGCTGATCCTGTTGAAACATGAATTTATTATGTGTCTTGTGTTTTCTTATATTGTTGCATTTTGCCTGGGCCCAACAAGTGGCCATAACCAAAGATAATCATGTTTACACTTTCTGGTACAATTCTTCTGATACTGATGTAGCTACATACACCTTTGATTACTGTGACATAGTTACCTGTACATTCCCACAAACACAATATGCAGCCATATACAAAGACATACCTAGCAAAAAGGCTCACCTCACCAGACTGGGTAGGAACCACTCACATGACTATTAACACGTTAAAACCACATATTAAGACTCTACATGACATGGTAGCTATAGCCAATCCCACCTTTGAAGACACTATGACAGTAGAGACTGGGTTTTCAGACACTAATTTGTGGCTAGAATGGATGAGATATAACGCCAACTGACATAATAAGACTAACTGTTATGTATGTGGAGGAGCCAGGCCCCATCTGGGCACAGTACCTCTAAGCCTACCTCCTGAAGTAGAATTATGTGTTCTGAGTCTTTATGCACAATCCACCACCAACTCCTCAACATGTGAATCATGGAAAAGGGTTTACCCAATCACTCATGGATATGTCAAGCCACCTGATGGAGTCACCGTGTATCCAGGTAATTACACATGTTATGCTATACCTAAGAATACTGGTTTGTATCTGGGCAAATTCCCATCAGGATACTGCTCAACTTACCATAATCCACCCGTATCACTGCTAATGAATCACACAAAGACAATCGGTGATATCTATTGGTTATGTGGTGATAAACAATTGAGGTCCCAATTAGCTGGGCAATGGTGGGGGGAGTGTGCCCTAACAAAAGTCATAATGCCTATCCATATCATTCCAGATGGTGACCATAACACGCTAAACCTCACACATGTACACTCTAGAACCAAACGAGAGACCCCTATCCGAGGGAGCTTTGACCCCCATGTGTATATTGATGCCATAGGTGTGCCAAGGGGGGTGCCTAAAGAATACAAAGCAAGAGATGAAGTGGCTGCAGGATTTGAATCCCTAATTCCAATGATAACTGCTAACAAAAATGTCAATTGGATTAACTACATTTACTATAATCAACAGCGCTTTGTCAACTACACTAGGGATGCCCTACAGGGCCTGGCAGAGCAATTACAAGCCACTACCCAAATGACATTTCAGAACAGAATGGCCCTAGATATGATTTTAGCTGAGAAAGGGGGTGTATGTAAAATCCTCCCTGAGACCATGACATGCTGCACATACATTCCAGACAACACTGGGCCCAATGGTAAGGTGACTATGGCCATAGAGAAGCTAGATAGTCTTGTAGACGAGCTAAAGAAAAATTCAGGAGTCACTGACACTTGGGACAGATGGTTTGGATGGATGAATGGTTGGCAAAGGACCCTCTTCCAGGTAGGGACAGCTGTTCTCATAATGATCGTCATTTTCTTATTTCTGACCTGTTGCATATTCCCCTGCATACAGAGGTATCTACAGAAAGCAGTAGATAAGACTATAGTTGACGTGACCCCTACTTTCCTACATCAGGACGTCACAGACCTCGAAGATGACACACCACATACACCCCTTCAAGCACATCAGTTCAAACAGACAACTGCTTTCCTGTAGGGATAGTATAGGGAAAGCATCTGTCTTGGCGGGCGAGTCTCACGTGTGGAGATGTAGTGGATTAGCCGCTGCGGGTTACCCACGGAGTGAAGTGTTCGATGCCTACTGAGATAGATTAGGAGCATATCATTAGGGATATATTAGGGACAGTAGCAGTTGTTATGGTAAATAGCCATTTTAGGGGGGACTGTTGTGGAAATAAGGTCTACACATATTTCCTAGTTAAAGGAAAATGTCTATTTACTCATCTCACACTATGCTATAGAGTTAAGCACACATGTTTAATCAAAATGGCTGCTAGAAGCTTCTAACCCCTTCCTCCCCCTGCCCCTTTAAACACCGACTAACTACCTCGTGCAGCAAGATGGCGCCGGGAAACCGTGGGAGACCCTCATGGACCTGGTGACATGAAATATTGACATATTTTTAGCTAGTAAAATGTCTATTTACTTCATTTAGTTATACTTAATATTATTCAATAAATTACTAAACTGACCACTAGATGTCACTCAGGAGCACCCCACCCATCGACCAAACACTCTAATTTTCAAGATGGCGCCGGAATCCTGTGGGAGAACTCCATGACGACAGTAATGACATAAGAAGGCACACCCTGTAGGGCGTGCTTTGAATAAAACACTTAACACTTGACCAATTATTGATGTATTATTCCATGTTATCTCTGACAATGCTTATGATGTAATTTTGCTTTAAAAGGGACCTGCCGTCCCCTCTGAATAAACTTTCCTCAAGTTATTCAACAACCTAGAACCTGTGTCTGGTGTGAATTACTTCAGGGAGCGTGCACGCATTGTTTCATTGATTTGGCCAGGGGCAGATACACAAAGAAATAATCAATACTTTAATTGATTTTTCCATTTCAAGTCACTTTTACTTTTTGTGAATTATCAACATTACATACCTTCTCTGTTCTGAGCTTGCCCCTCCCTCCATCTCCACCCCCTTATACTGTGCTAAAGCCCATCTCCTTTCTGTCTTATCTCCATTTTGTAGATTGCTATGACCCTCCCCCCTACTACTAGTTTAAAATCTCCTCCAATCTTCTAGCCATCCTATCCCCCAGCACTGCAGACCCTCTCCCGTTTAGGTGCAATCCATCACTATTATAAAGGTTGTACCCAAGCGCAAAATCAGCCCAGTGCTCTAAAAACCCAAAGCTCACCTTCCTGCAGCAAGACTTAAGCAACGCATTGACCTCTCTAATCTCCCGCTGCCTTTCCACTGTAGCACGTGGCACAGGTAATATCTCAGAGAATACCACCTTGGAGGTCCTTTTCTTAAGTTTGCTACCTAATTCACGGAAATCATTCTTTAGGACCTTCCATCTTCCTCTTACTTTGTCATTGGTACCAACATGGACCATAACCGCTGGGTCATCCCAAGCCCCTCCCAATAATCCATCCACTCTGTCAGCAACATGCCAGACCTGAGCACCCGGGAGACAGCAAACTGTCCGGTTGAGCCGATCAGAGCGGCAGATTGCCCTATCAACTCTCCTAATCATAGAGTCCCCTACCACCACAACCTGTCTTGCCTTCCTTACATTTTGATTCCCACTCGTACTAGGTTGGCTGTTATCTTGGCTGTTAGAAGTAACAGCTTTCTCTAATACAGCTACTCCTGAGCTGATGCTCCCAACATCTTCACTCAGACGGGCAAATCTGCTAGGATCAAAGATTCTTTGGAAATCTCCAGTAAAGAGTCTGGCATGGAAACCGGTTTATCAATGGCACAAAAGCATTCTTACAACAATAGCTGTAGATCAAAGAAATAAGGAATCTTGCTGGTACCCTAAATTAGATGATTGGGTAAAGTGTAAAACGCTGTCTACTTGAACAAAAGAGCAAGAGTATAAAGAAAGCAGTCTTACACCTATAAAAGAAATAAGTGAGTCGCATAAAACAATACATGAGCACATTGGAACTTCTCACAGCAACAATCCATGCAGTGAAATCGGCAAAGGCAAATATGAGAAAACGTCATGGGAGATTCAACAAATATGGAACGGGCAACTGGAAGATCTAGGTGCTTGGATGACGATCTCAGAAAGTACCTTAGTATATTTCAATTGGTGGACTTCTTAAAAATTCACAATAGTAGTCTATTCAGTCACAGGAACTGGATAAGGATCACCATGGACTCATCCAGTTCAGGTTGGGGAAGTCATCTAGGATCAATTATGAAAAAAAAAAGGAAATTGAAAACCAGAACAAAAAGATCACTTTTCCAACTCTTACTACTGGAAATATTGATGGTAGTAAAAGCCTTCCACAGACACATAAGATTCAGAGAAGTTCAGATCAGATCGACAAATTCACTACTGTTACGTATATCAACAAACAGGGAGGAAAAACAGTCAAGGCTTTACCAGAGCCTTTTTTTTTAAAATGATGTTCATAGTAGAAAAGAACTTGGCAGCAATCACGGAGGTATTCATCAGAGGCATCGACAATACCATAGCCGACAACCTCAGCTGGAACTCATGGAGTTAATCAGAATAGAATATAGTCAGGTCACATTAAATTAGATTGTAAAAATATTTGGTCTTCCCTGTGTAGATCTTACAGCAACAACAGAACAGGAACAGAAAGGTTCATATATCAATTTCAATATTCAGGACAGATGTCCTAGACTACTTGGATGCCCTCTCAATCAAGTGAAATTTAGTTTGGGATACATTTTTCTCCCTTTAGTAGTGGTTCCAAGAATCATCCAAAAGATTCCAGAAGACAGCACTTGGTTTAGTCCTTGGTCCACTACTGTTCTCTATCTATACGGTCTCCCTTGGTAAACTCATTAGCTTCCAATATCATTTCTATGCGGATGACACGTAAATCTATCTGTCCTCTCCTGATCTCTCCGTGTCCCTCTTGACTAGTGTCTCTGACGGCCTCTCTGCTATTTCCAACTGGATGGCTGCCCACTTCCTTAAACTCAACTTGACCAAAACTGAAATTCTGGTCTTTCCTCCCTCAAGTGTTGCTACTCCTCTATCTGTCTCCCTCCAAGTCAACGGTGCTACCATCAGCTCCACTATGCAGGCTCGCTGCCTATGTATTCTCTTTGACGCCGACCTCTTCATGCCTCATGTTCAGTCTATCGCCAAATCCTGGCGCTTCCATTTCAAAAACATTGCACACATCCGACCCTACTTAACGCCAGATGCGACTAAGGTGTTAGTCCATTCCACTGTCCTTTCTCGCCTTGACTACTGTAACCCGCTTCTCAGTGGTCTTACGTGCTCCCAACTTGTGCTGTTACAGTTCATAATCAATGCGGAGGCGAGGCTCAGCTTCCTGTCCGCCCGCACCTCCCATGCCTCAACCTTCTGTCAGTCCCTACAAGATATAGGGCTCAATTTAAAATTCGGGTTCTTGCTTTCAGATCTCTACATAATGCTGCTCCCACCAATCTATCCTTCTAATACACATGTATGTCCCGTCTAGGCCCTTATGCTCTGCTGAAGACTTACGTCTATCTTCTGTCCGTACTCCCACCTCTGATGCACGTCTTCAAGACTTCGAGGGCTCCTGTGGAACTCACTTTCCTCCTCCGTTAGAGGCTCACCCAGTCTCCACTCCTTCAAAAAAAATCATTAAAAACCCATTTCTTTATAAAAGCGTATCAATTAAACTGTTAATAGCTCCTGAATGATTCCTCACTTGCAACTGTCATTAGTCTAATACTATACTTACTTTTTGTGTCACTTTACCCCACTCCCTCTAGCATGTACACGCATTGAGCAGGATTCTCAACCCCTCTGTTCCTGTGTGGAAGGTAAAACGCAGACATAAATGGCAATCTGGATGCAATGGATCCTCATGGTGGAGTCCGCAAATTTCCGCTCCTTGTTGCACAGAGTTTCCCAGCTCCCTTTCCTAGACCTCCCCCACTCCCCTCCACCCCTCCACTGTGCACACTCAACGGTGCTCTACAAACTGAACCAGGCACCATTTACAGCTCTTTGAACTAATTATGTTTGTTGGCTTTATATCCATACCAGCTAGAAGGGATCTGCGAATCCACCCATATCTTGTCATGCATTATTGAGGTACCTGCACGTACCAAATATCTAATCCGTTACTTGGAACAGTGGCACAATTGAAGGTACCTGTGAGTACTAATGCACTGAAAACAACTTGATCTTAAAAAAACAAAACAAAATGATAATAAAATATAATTTACAAAAAATAAGATACCAGAAGACAGAGCATCAGTTATAGCAGTGATTCCTTACTGGCCAAACAGAAGACAATTTTCAGTGCTCCTGAGATTATCAAGAGGGAAATTTTGGCATCTTCGCTGAAGACAGAGTTCCGAGTCAACAAAGATATATCATTAGAAACTCACAGGGCATTCAGTCTAATGGCCTGATATCTGTAAGGCTAATCCTTAACAATAAAGGCTAGGAAGAGGAAACTATTTGATACTGAAATCAGTCACAAAATCTACGACTTGAATTTATCGCCGCATTTGGAAAAAGTTTAAAGCAGGTGATATGAAAAAGGCTGTGACTGCTCTAATCCTTCAAATCCTTTAATTCTGAAATATGTTTGAAATGGTGTCGCTTACTGTCTCAACATATGTACTCTTATAGTTCAGGTGACTGCGTAAAGTATTTTTTTGTTACAAACTAAAGCAAACAACATTCTTATAAGAAGATTTTCCGAAGCAATTTGGCAAATTTGTCTAACCAAATTTTTTTTATTTTTTCCTACCTGGGACTTGTCATTAGTCCTTAATGCCATGTGTGAGGATCCATTTCAAACTCTTGCCAAGGCATCTATCAAGATATTATCTTTTAAGACAGCTTTTCGTATAGCTATTACATCAGCTAAAAGAGTTTGTGAGATACAGGCTCTCTCTTTATCTTCGACGTTTACAGTGTTTTATCAAGACAAAGCAACTTTACACCAGCATTTTGGTGTTAAAAAAAGATTGCATCAAACACAGGAGAGG